GATGGCGGTTTATGATGTATTCCGTACAACCGGCGGCGCTATCGCCTTTTATGGTTTACTACTTTTCGTCTGCACGGTTATCCTGGTACGGTTTCGTAAGATGGACCGCTACTGGCAGCTGGTCAGCTTTATGTTTCTATGGCTGCTGATCGCGCAGGCTATCTTGGTGCCATTATGGTTCCCTGAGAATCTATTGGTGGTGGGCGATCGCTATCTCTATCTTATGCTGGCCTTTCATGGCATGCTGGTAGCCCTGTTGCTTTACAAGATAAAACGGGAATGGCTGAAACAGGGCCTCTTACTGACGGTAGCCTTCATCAGTATTTACTGGAACCTGAAGCTTTCTAAAAAATGGTATGAATCTGAAAGGGTGATCAGGGCGATACAGACCAGCCCGCTGATTAAACCGGGGAAGGTAAAAGTATTGCTGAATTCCCCGGCCTGCATCAAAGGCATCCCGATGATCGGGGCTACGGCGGAGGGAGAGTTCCGGCTGATGCATAACCTGTTCTTTAAACCAGCGATAAAAGATACGATGCTGGAAGTAGCCGCCTATAATATGATCTCGCCGGAAGATGGTGCGCATGTAGAGGTGATGAATGACAGCATGGTAAAAGTAACGCTGAATCAATGGGGCACCTGGTGGTGGCGTAATGGCGACTTCGGGGCCACGAGCTATGAGAATGAATGGTTCCGCCTGGACCTTGTAGACCCCGGGCATTGGTACTACCTTATCCTGAAACAGCCAGCCGCCAACTATGATCTCTTTTATCAAAAGGGAGAGGAAATAAAGGTTGTTGATATGGCTATAAGAGGTGCTGAACAGAATTAAACGGTGCCGCCTTATCTTTGTTCATCATGCAGCGTGTAAAAGAGAAAGTAGTTGCGTCACAGCCGTCGGCCATCAGCCGCATGGCCAGTCATGCAACATTAGTAGAGGAGCGCAGTTTAGTAATTAATAATCATATCCGTATGAAGGTATATGATATTGCCTGCGCGCCTGCACTTCCTGATGAGCATGCTCGTTTTCTTACCCTGCCTTTTGGTGAAGGACAATACAGCGTCCAGCTTCTTTTCCTGGAGCATGGTGAAGACCCGGGC